AAAAAAAAAAAAAATGGATAAAAAAAAAAAATATTTTTAATTATCTATTCTCAATTAAAAATGTTTTTGCATTGAGAGGAATTTTAAAAACAATTTTATATTATTTTAAATGTTATATGGCAAAAAAAAAAGAAAATTATTTTATTAAAAATGCAAAAAAAAAAAAAAAAAAAAAAAAAAAAAGAGAAAAATACTTTATTTATATTAAAATTTAATCTTATATTTATATACTTCATCTCAATTTTTATAATTTTATTTTATATATATTTGATTAAAGATTGTATGTAATACAATTCATATATTTTTCTACCTTTTGAATAATATGATAAAAATTATGTATACATATATCTTGTTTGTTCTTTACATTATTTGAATATTCTTCATTTTTTTTGTAAATATTATCAGAAAAAGTGTATATATCATTGTTAGATATAAATTGATCAGAATATTTAAATATAGTTGATGCATAAGTTGATGGTTTTTCATTTATTCTATAATATGAATTAGACGTTAAGTTAATTATATAGTTACAACTAGCAATATCTATATTCTGTTTATTATTTAGATGTTTTTTTTTTTTGTGATAAATATACATATTATACCAATCTTTTAATTCTATTTTATTAATATCAATATTTGTTCTAATAAAATTTTGTTGTTTTATACCTTCAACTATCTGACTAAAATCAAGGATTGGTTGATATTTTAATATTTTATCGATATTTATTAAATGTTTATTGACAATATTAGCTAAATTTGTATAATCTTCTCTCTCTACATCAGAATTAATTACCATGTTTTTTTTTTTCTCTTCTAAAAATTCATTAAATAATTCATCATTTAAATTTTTTGATTTTTTTTTATAGTTATAAAAAGCCTCAAATTCAATATGTAAATTATTTACATATTTCGTAATACTATTAAATTTATTATTGTTCAAATCTTTTTCATTTCTTGTAATTTTATTATATCCAGTAGTGCATCCTTTATTCATCAAGTATTCCTTTAATAATTTATAATTTTTTTCAAAATCATTTAAATCCTATTTAAAGAAAAGAAAAAAAAAAAAAAAAAATTATATTTTTTGATATATAACAAAAAATTTTTTCGCTAAATTAAAGAAACTACAAAACAAATAAACGTAAAATGAGTATGTTCCTTTTAACATATTATAAGAAAATTCTAAATTTTGTTAATAAAAGAAAAGAAAAGAAAAAAATTTTAGATAAATAAATATCAATAACTTTTACATCTTTTAAAATCTAAACTAATTATATTACACTTAAAATATGAAGTTGCAAATTATCATCGTTATTATTGTATGCTATGTTATCATAAAAAAATTTATTATTATTTATATCATAAAAATCTATGTCAATATTTTCCTCATTAGATTTTTTTATTTTTTCATCTATAACTAAAGATTCTGAAAATATAGATTGAATCCATATCCAGAATACTGCTCTTAATTGTTCATAATGAAAAAATTCTATTCCATTTTTATAAATATGAATAATTTTATTATATAAAGAGATATTATTTAAAATATGAAATTCATTTATTGTTATTTTATCATTTAAATAATCATAATTTATTTCATCTAAAAATTCTAAGTAATTAGATGAAAGGAGTGTTTGCCTATTTAGACTATTTTTATTATTATTATTATTATTATTATTATTATTATTATTATTTATAATATTATGCAATTTTTTATTTTCTATATTTTTCATTTCTTTTTCATTATCAGTAGTAACAGAAAATAAAATATTGTTAGATAAATTAATTTTTCTACCCTTATCATATAATTTATCTAATTTATAAACTTCTTTTGAATTATTTAAATTAACAACAACATTATGAGGTTCAATATATGTACTTATTAGCTCGTTAAATTTATAAAATAACATTAATCTATTTTTGTCATAATTCTGTAATTTATTTACATTTAATAATATTTTATTTTGTAACTGTATTAATTTATTACAATTTTTATTAATATTTCTTGTAATATTCATTAAATATATATTATTATTGTCATCAAAATACAGATCATTTCCATCATTATCCTTATTATTACTATAAAACTTTAGAAAATTTTCTTGATATTTAGAGTAGTCATAATGCACATATTCATCTAAAGTAAAATTTTCTTCTTTCTCTTCCTCATCATCTATGTGTTCTTTTTCTTTTTCTTTTTCTTCTCCTTCTTCCTTTTTTGTTCTTTTTTTGAATAGCAAATCTTCTTCGTTTTGTTCATGCTCCTTTTTACTCTGTTTTTTTATTTCTGCATTATTTATTTCATCTTTATCTATTCTTTTCTTTTTCAATTTTTGTAAAAAATTATAAAAATATTTGCATTCAAAAACTTCCATATCATAAGGTCTGTTAGAAAGTAAAAGCATTGCTTCGTTAATATAATGATAGAATTCATATTCTTCATTGTTATGTTCATCTACTTTTTCTATTAATTTATTTATGTTTTTTTTATTATTGGAAAGATTCTGAAAAAAATTTTCATAAAATGGTTGCCTTTTGTCAAAATTTTCAAATAATTTTATACTATCTATTATAAAACCAATACATAATAATAATTCCTTTGCCATTTGAAAATTGCATTTAATCAATTGATATAATCTAGGATATTGAAAATATTCTAATAAAATTATCACTAATGGTGATATTATATAAAAATTCTCAAAATAATTAACATCTTCATCTAATTCTTCATAGAAATATTCTTCATCATCATCATCATCTTCTAGTTCTTCCATATCCTCTTTCTTTTCATTCATATCATTTTTTCTTTTATTATTTTTTATGAATTTTTCTTCTACTTTTAAAATTTCTTTTTTTACATATTCATTATAGATAGGTTTAAATTTTCTTTTAAATTCAAAAAAATGTAAAAGGCATAAATCATTTATTAAAAAGCAGTATTTTATAATAACTTTTCTTCTTTTCACTTTTTTATCATTTTTTCCTCTCCTTAATAATTCAGCTGTGATATATTCAATTCCGAAATAATTAAAAACGTCACATACATGTTCTAAACTTTCCTTAATTGAAATATTCATATTATATAATTAATAAAAAAAAAAAAAAAAAAAATTCAAAAATTTATAAATATATTATTATTTATTTTTACATATTTATATTCTATATATATTATAGGAAAACATTTATGTGTTATATATCAATTTTTTTTTTTTTTTTTTTTCTTTTTTTTTTTTAAAGAAACATAAAATTTATAAAATTATAATAAAATACAAAAAGAAAAATTATATAAATTAAATGAAATGTATATTTTATATTTAATTTATTAACTTATATTTATTTTTTTTTTTTTTGTAATGTAAAATAAACATTTAAAAGTAAAATAATGATTGAGATTAATGAAATTTGAACTATAATAAAAATTTAATATATATGCACATTTTTAGTAGAGTTATAAAATTAAAATAAAAAACATCATCTTATTTTAAAAGAATCAAAAGAATAACTAAATTATATTAAATATTTAAATTATAACAATTAATTATAAGAAGAGACAACAATAATAAAGAAAAAAAAAAAAAAAAAAATGTATAAGATTAATGAAAATTAGAAAAATTGAAGAAAAATAAAAGAAATATTATAATTTGGAAAAATAATAAAAAGAGAATGGATAATGTATTAATTTCATCAGGATCAGATGCTGTAAAATAAAAAAAAAAAAAAAAAAATTTTACATATGAATTTTTGCCTATAGAATTAAATTATTTAATACTTTTTAAAATTAATATAAATATTTCTTCTATTATAAAAGTATATAATTATTTTATTTCTTTTTTTTTTTTTTATATATATATATTTTTAGAGAATATACAAATGTGACTTTATAGGAAAAGAAGCAGTTAAAAAGGTAATTTATAGAAAATTTTATAGGCATAGAAAAATAGATGCAAAAATTAGAAAATTAAGAGTATCCAATGAAATTAAGTTTACAAAAAGATTAGCAAGCTTAAATATTGATATTCCATTTCTTTATTTTGTTGATGTAAAAGAAAAAAGTTTGTATTTTGAATACATAAAAGGATGTACCATTAACAATATATTAAAAAACATAAAAGAATATGAACCAAATATTGCTAAATGTATAGGTATGATTTTAGCAAGAATACATAACGGAAATATAATACATGGAGATTTTACTACCTCTAATTTAATTTTAAGGAATTCTTATATTAATGAAAATAAAATTTATGATTATTCAAATAATTCAATTTATAAACTCAATGATCTTGACACAATAAAATTATGTGTTATAGATTTTGGTCTATCTTTTTTATCATCATCTGTAGAGGTAATATATAAAAATAAAAAAAAAGAGATATTTAAATATAAAGAAAATTTTATTATAATAAATTATTATTATATAATGTATATAGGATAAGGCTGTTGATTTATTTGTTCTTTTAAAAGCTATTAAAAGTTTTCATAGTGAATTTTCATCATTGGTAATTAAATTTATTATATTTTATCACATATATATATATATATTATAAATTTTTTATATATTTCTTTATTCAAATAAATTTAAAAAAAAAATAGGAAGAAGATATACTACGAGGATATGAAATGAAGTCAAATAACTTCAACGAGATTAGCAAAAAACTTGAAATAGGTTTGTTTAAAATTAAAACATAAAGAAAAATAACTAAAATATTAATATATATTTTGAAAATTATTTTTAACTTTTGTTTTTTAATAAATTAATGCATTAAACAAACATAATAATATATAAATAATTTATTATCTATTATTATATCCAGCTTATATAAAAACATTCTTTTTTTTTTTTTTTAGTGAAACAAAGAGGAAGAAAAAGACCAATGGTTGGATAACAATCTCATTTGTGTTTAAATGTTTATAACCTATAATAATTATATTATAAAGGTATGTATTTTAAAAGGAAACCTTTTAATTATATTCATTTTTTTGATATAATAAAACATATAATACCTTTATATATTTTAAAAAACTTTTTAAATGGACATTTCATATATTTTTTATCATTTTTTTTAATAATATTTTCTTCTTTATATAATTTAATTTTTATATTAGATGTTGTATATGTTAATAATAATGCTAATAGTATTTATATTTTAAAAAAAAAAAAAAAAGAAAAAAAAAAAAAAAAAATTTCATATTCCTTTGATTCTTGATTTATAACTATTTATTAAGGATAACCTTTTTGTATGTAAAAAAAAAAAAAATAAGAAATCCATTTGTTTTGTGTAACATATTGTATAAAACAAAATGTGAAAATAAAAAAAAAAAAAAAAANTATTAGATGTTGTATATGTTAATAATAATGCTAATAGTATTTATATTTTAAAAAAAAAAAAAAAAGAAAAAAAAAAAAAAAAAATTTCATATTCCTTTGATTCTTGATTTATAACTATTTATTAAGGATAACCTTTTTGTATGTAAAAAAAAAAAAAATAAGAAATCCATTTGTTTTGTGTAACATATTGTATAAAACAAAATGTGAAAATAAAAAAAAAAAAAAAAATAAAATTCAAAGCATCTTATTCGAACAAAAAAGTATATAACAAGAAAACTTCCAAAAAATATATTTTTAAAAAATTGTAAAGCTTTATATTTTTTCGATTTAAATATATAAAAAATGTGGTGGTATTTTTTTTTTTTTTTTTTTATAACATATTATTTTAAAAAAGCAGGTGTAAATATTTTCAGAAAAATATTTAACTAAGAAATATAAAATACATAATAGCTTTTTTATTAACAAGTATAAAAAAGAAAAATGTAATAATAACCTTTTAAAATTTTTTTTTTTTTTTTTTTCAACAGTATTATATATATATATATATATTTAATTTTACTTATATATGAAAAATATAAATGAAATTTTATAGATAAATGGAAATGAAATTATCTACATAAAAGGGAAAAAATGAATTTATAATTATAATTCCGAAAAATAAAGAAAAAACACAATTTAACGAATTGTAATTAAATTTTAATTATCGCATAAAACATTATTTAAATATTTTCTTTATTAATTTTTTTTTTTCTTATTGTTTTAATCTATATACAAAAAAAATATAAAAAAATATATCCATAATAATATATCTATATAAACATTTCTTGTATGCATATCTTTTATGCATGCATATTCTCTTTTATTTTATTAAGACTATATATATATAATTTGTTTTGATTTTGATGGGGCGCAAACTCTCATAAATTTATATGAATCAAAAAGAATACATATAATTTATAAGATTGTACATATATATATATATAATAGATGTACTTTTAAATGTTAGAAGCATTAATTATTCTATTGTTTATAAGAAATAACAATATTTTCTCAAAAAATGTTTTATTTAATTTTTTCTTAATATAATAAAGAACATTTATTTTTTAAGAAATAATTAAATTATTGAAGTATTAATATATATATATACTTTTTTATTTTTTTTTTATGAGCATGTTGAAAAAAAAAAAAAAAAAAAATGGCCCCGTGTGATGGGGCCAATGAAATATTGTATTCAGTATTTGTAAGCATTATTTTGTAGTAATTTCTGCATGATCAAAAAAAAAAAAAAAATAAAATAAAATAAAATTAAAATTAAAATTAAAAAAAAAAAAAAAATTATTTTTTATTATAACTTCATATTTCACAAAAAATTTTTCATACAAAAAAGTTTTATTATTTTCAATTAAGGAAATATTTTAAAGTTTTTTTTAAATTAAATCAACATTTACTAACAGAAATATTTTAAAAATATATTTCTTTTTTTTTTTTTTTTTTTTATCTTTTTATATCTGTAAAAAATTAGAATCTTTATATATACATATATAATTATATATATATATATATATATAAAATACAATACTTTTAATAGATAGTTTACGAAATATTTTTTTTTATTTTATTTTATTTTATTTTTTTTTTTTTTATACAAAATGTCGAAAGAAACATTTGCATTTAATGCCGATATAAGGCAATTAATGAGCTTGATCATTAATACTTTTTATAGTAATAAGGAAATTTTTTTAAGAGAACTTATTAGCAATGCTAGTGATGCTCTTGATAAAATTAGATATGAAGCTATAACAGATCCACAAAAATTATCTGCAGAACCCGAATTTTTTATTAGAATTATTCCAGATAAAACTAATAACACTTTAACTATTGAAGATTCTGGTATTGGTATGACAAAAAATGATTTAATTAACAATTTGGGTACTATTGCTAGATCAGGAACTAAAGCTTTTATGGAAGCCATTCAAGCTAGTGGAGATATTTCTATGATTGGACAATTTGGTGTAGGTTTTTATTCAGCCTATTTAGTTGCTGATCATGTTGTAGTTATTTCAAAAAATAACGACGATGAACAATATGTTTGGGAATCAGCAGCTGGTGGATCATTCACAGTTACGAAAGATGAAACTAATGAAAAGATAGGAAGAGGAACTAAAATAATTTTACACTTAAAAGATGATCAATTAGAATATTTGGAAGAAAAAAGAATTAAAGATTTAGTTAAAAAACATTCTGAATTTATCTCCTTCCCAATTAAATTGTACTGTGAAAGGCAAAACGAAAAGGAAATAACTGCATCTGAAGAGGAAGAAGATGGAGAAAAGAAAAAAGATGAAAATGAAGAAGATAAAGAGAAAAAAGAAGAAACAGAAGAAGATAAAGAAAAAAAAGAAGATAATGAAGAAGATAAGACTGATCATCCAAAAGTAGAAGATGTTACTGAAGAATTAGAAAAAGCAGAAAAAAAAAAAAAAGAAAAAAAAAAAAAAAAAGTACATACAGTTGAACATGAATGGGAAGAATTAAATAAACAAAAACCATTATGGATGAGAAAACCAGAAGAAGTTACCAACGAAGAATATGCAAGCTTTTATAAATCCTTAACAAATGATTGGGAAGATCATTTAGCTGTCAAACATTTTTCTGTAGAAGGTCAATTAGAATTTAAAGCTTTGTTATTCATTCCCAAAAGAGCTCCTTTTGATATGTTTGAAAATAGAAAAAAAAGAAATAATATTAAATTATATGTTAGAAGAGTTTTTATTATGGACGATTGCGAAGAAATTATTCCTGAATGGCTTAACTTTATTAAGGGTGTTGTTGATTCTGAAGATTTACCACTTAATATTTCAAGAGAATCATTGCAACAAAATAAAATTTTAAAAGTTATTAAAAAAAATCTTATTAAGAAATGTTTAGATATGTTCACAGAATTAGCAGAAAATAAAGAAAATTATAAGAAGTTTTATGAACAATTCAGTAAAAATCTTAAATTAGGAATTCATGAAGATAATGCAAACAGAGCAAAGGTAATAAATACATACAATTAATTTATTCAATATATATATAATATGAGAAAAAAAAAAAAAAAAAAAAAAAAAAAAAAAAAAATACTATATAAATATAGAGATATTGTTATAAAATCATATCTATATATGATATTTTGAGGAGAAATTTATTTAAATTCCAAATTTTAATTACATGTATGTAATTTTAGTTAAGCATAAATGTTCAGACGATTTGGAAAAATAATATTAAGATAATTAATTTATAATTATTTGAAATGTTATATTTTAAATAATTAAAAAATAAGTTAATTATCTTAATCGCTTATCACCTTAGCATGCATTTATTGTTTATTTATTTATAAATATAATAAATGTTTATATTATTTTATATTTTATTTATATTTATTATAATTTATAAATGAATAAATAAGACGGCAATATTTATGACCATGATAATTAAATGCATTGAGTCATAAAAGCGAAACAAATATATACACACCAATTTTAAAAAAAAAAAAAAAAAAAAAAAAAAATATATATATATATATATATTTTTTTTTTTTTTTTTTTTTTTTTTTAAAATTGGTGTGTATATATTTGTTTCGCTTTTATGACTCAATGCATTTAATTATCATGGTCATAAAT